GGCCCGCCCACACATGATGGGCAAAAAACTTATGAAAAGCCCGACTCGAGCCCGGCCCGAGCCCGCTTTTGTGCAGGTCTACCGATTATTAGCTCCCTTCCCATTTAAGAAGACTTTTATGTTCTTCATCTCATCTGCCAATTTATAGCTCCGAAAACCATTCAGAGAATCTCCGACGCTATACCACTCTCGCCGGAAAGTAGCGACCAGGTCAGCTCGTCCCTTCTCGTCCAGAAACTCTAGCCGAAGGCTTCTTGCCCTTTATTGGTTGCGGATGGCTTGTCCGTCGGTACCCGCAGCCATGGGCTCCTCCTTCCGACTACTTTGTAGCTTCAATCCGGCTATAGACTCAGTCGACGGCAAAGAAGAGGAATAGGCGGAGGGAGCATACACCAGCGAGAGGGTGAAGAAGTGAAGTGACAAGAGAAATAGGAAAGAAAAAAAAAAGAAATTAAGTTGGAAGTGATGAGGCCCAAATCGAAAAGAATAGAGGCGCAGGGAAGAAGAAAGGAAAAGGGAAGAAAGGAAAAGAAAAGAAAAAGACTTTGCTTGGAAAATCATTTTTTTAATAGTTTGAGGGTCTGATTGATCCGATTTTTAGTTGGGGGCTTAATTGATTTTTTTGAAAAGATGGGGTGTTTATTTGATAGTTTTCCCTAAAATATAGGATATTTTTAAAATTTTTGCAATAAAATATTTGATGTACTTTTTTAACGTATTGTAACAACTTTGCTTGCAAAAAAATTGTGTTCATTTCGCGTGCAAAAAATTATGTGTAAACATTTGTAATCTACGATAGATAGCACCAAGAGCTTCCCCGTTCTTTTTAATTCGCCCAACGTTGGCTCGTTACCTATGAGGCTATAAATATCACATCCTTCACTAAATTAAAGATCGCATTCTTGTTCTTACTATAGTAGAATACTAGAATGCTCTAGCTAGACCAAACTCAAAATTTTACACAACACGGTACTTTGGTAGTTTGGTTTACTTCACATTTTCGTAGTTGAGTTTTACAATTGCTTTCATAGTTTACCATGTTCTACTAAGAACCAAATTATTAGGCTAGAGATGTTTATTATAATTACGCCAACAGAAATCATTAGTAATATAATGAAATATTACGAATAGGTGACCATGTATTTCGACTTATCAATTACATCAATCAAAATAGGTGACCATGTATTTTATGTATTTTATGAATTGTAAAATAATCAAAATAGACAAAGTTGGAGTTATTGTTTTAGCCAAATTGACAGAAGCTACTAAAGATGATCATTTTAACTATTTTTCATATAATTATTTCTTTAATATCTCAATAAAATAAATTTTAAATGTATTTTTCCATAATCCAAGAGATTCAACAAATTCAGCTGCTTCAGCAAAAACTTCATCAATTTTAACAAATACAAACGATTCAGTCAATTCCAGCGTTACTAAATGGGTTCTAAATTTAGATTTGTAACGTGATGTTTTGAAGTAAAATTGTTTATTACGAAACTTCAAAGAAATAAATATGTTTGAAATTAGACTTGCAGGAATCTCTACGTAATTGACAAAAGAATTCCAAATTGACAGAAGTCAACAAAAGTCAATCAATACTAAAATCCACGAAAATCAACTTATGAGATGGCTTCAACTTTTACAGCGTATCCGAGTATTTCATACTGGCGCAGCACTTATTTCAAGTAAACGGACAAACTTTTCAACATTTCGAAATACGCATGAATCAAACATTAAATATAATTTGAACAATTGTAAAATAGGATAATTCAGTTGCCCACATTGCCGGGGCACACCTGAACATTTTCAACCCTAAATTGAATAAAATAGGACTAATAAAGATTTTTTGTAGAAGTATCAATCAAGTATCACTTAGTTCTAACGTTTTCATTTATGTTTCAATTAATGCTATCAGAAAACAAACCTTACATCAAGGTCCCTTATAATTATTAATTAGCATTACAGCCGTGTTTCAACTTTCAACTAATGACATTGACCCAGCTTGTCTTTACATATCTTTAATTATATATACACCATAATTCCCATTCCTAGCTAGTTAAGCCCATATCCACTTCAATTAAGAATACAACATTCTGTCAAATAACGTTCATACACAATGTTGCCTCATCATCATTTATGGCGCATTTCTTTGAGTTTACAACAGGTGATGCTTTTTGCTGCTCTTATATGGTTCCCCATATGTGGCAGAGCAACGCAGAAGCTACCGGAGGGGCGGGTTATGCCGGCAATAATAGGCTTTGGGGATTCCATAATTGATCAAGGAATGAACAACTACATCACTACTGTGGCAAAGTGCAACTTTCCTCCCTACGGGGAGGACTTTATGGGTGGAAAGCCAAACGGACGCTTTAGCAATGGCAAGAATCCTATTGATCTAATAGGTAATGAACTCCTAATCCATACATGATACTTCTAAAACTGATCATGTTTGGAAATACCTTTCATTTTACAGAAGTTTTTTATTATCTTCTGATTTTCTTGGTGATGGGGATGAAAGATCTTTTTTATTGGACTAAAATTTCCTAGTCTAATCTGATCTATTTAAATATGATCTCGTTTAGTCTGAATCAACCTAGTAAAAGTATGTTCTATACTTCTATATGTATTTTATAAATGTCAAAATCTAGTCTGTTACGGTATGTTTAAGTTTGATCTGGGACTGGAACTAGACCAATTAAAAACATCCTAAAAGCATATATTTACCATTGTAACCTTCAAGTTTCGACACTTTTGAATGTACTAACATTAATGTCACCAGCTCTTATATCCTCCATATAACCTAGCATGCAAGGCATGGCCTTGCACCAGCTCCTTTGGCTTTTAGCACGAAGCCATCATGGCATGCAGCCATGAGGGCAGTGGGTTTGAGTAACATAATAATTATTTCCATTTTTATCTCACACACACACATGCTTTCAGTATGATATTGAAAGGTCTAATGCATATACGAAGTACCTAACAAAACAACATTGACACTGACTTCCAACATTTACTTATTTTACCATTCCACTCTCTACAGCGAAGGAATTGGGAATCAAAGAGCTTGTCCCTGCTTACTTAGACCCCAGTTTGCAACCTGAAGATCTGAAAACAGGAGTAAGCTTTGCATCTGGAGGCACAGGATATGACCCTCAAACATCACAAAGTCTGGTAATAAATTACTTACCATACTGATCGGATAATAACTTTAGCTATTTCAATACTTTGCTTTTACTATAAGAACATAACAATATTAATTAAAAACTTACTCCAGTCAGTTGTCCCGATGTCGACACAATTGAACTACTTCAAAGCGTATCTAGGAAAACTGAAGACCGCATTTGGCGAAGAAGAAACAAAGTTCATAACTGACAACAGCATGTTCTTGGTGGTAGCTGGAAGTAATGACATTGCCAACACGTACTTCACCCTCGGACTCCGTCGGTTACAATATGACGTCAATTCCTACACGGATCTATTGGTCCAGAAGGCTTCCAGTTTCATCCAAGTAGGTGTATATACACCCATATACAAGAAAGTTACATTACAACTGATTAATCTGTAACATTGGGGTATGTTTTGTGTTGAAAATTTCATCAAGGAATTGTATGGAATGGGAGCTAGAAGAATTGGGGTATTCAGTCAGGTACCAGTAGGGTGTGTGCCGGCAGAGAGGACGTTGGGAGGCTACGGTTTAGGTTGTGCAGAGGAATACAACGAAGCAGCAAAGTTGGCCAATTCTAAGTTTCTAGCTGAGATTAATTCCCTAAAAGAGATGTTACCTCAAGCCAAGCTGGTTTTCCTAGACGCTTACCAACCGATTCTCAACCTCATCCAAAACCCTGGGCAATATGGTATAAATAACATACATACATACTTAAAATTATGTTCAGATGAGAAACTGATCTTAGAAGAGAAAAGAGAGTGAATCTAGACCGCTAGATTGTATTCTGTGAAATTGAATGTGCATTAGATGAAACTGAAATGTGCATTAGGTGAAATTGAAATGTGCAGCACAAAAAGTATGGCATAGTGGCATTATATGAAGCTAAATTGTGCATTAGGTAAACTAAAATGTGCATAATAAAAGCTACGATGTGGTGACATTTTGTGCCTTTATTCTGCACATTTCAATTTCACGTAATGCACATTTGAGTTACACCTTTTATTCTGCACATTTCAATTTCACCTAATGCACATTTCAGGTTCACCAAATGCACAAATCAATTTCACATAATACAATCCAACTGTCCAGATTCATTCTCATTTCTCTCATGGGAGTCCTTTCTCACTGGAACCGCTCCCCTCACACACATGTTTATATATATTGTTGTATATAAGAGCACAACGCACACATTATTGTGTAACATAATTAAATTGATCTGCAGGTATAGAGGTAACTGATAGAGGGTGTTGTGGGACTGGGAACTTGGAAGTTTCAATTTTGTGTAATAAATTCTCGCCGACATGTGAAGACCACGATAAATATTTCTTTTGGGACAGCTTTCATCCCACAGAACAAGGCTACAGGATCATTGTAAACCAGATCCTGCCTAAGTACCTCCCCAAATTCTTTTAAGTAGTATCAGACAGTACCAATTCAGCAGAAACATTACAACGCAGTCAGCACCCACACATTAATTATTTTGTTGCTTGTACTTTTTTTAATCTAATATGAAATCACAAGAAGTTATTGTTGATTTTCTATAACTATACATCTGTTTGTGTTAAAATTGATTTCAGTTCAATCATTTTTGCATGCATACATGCAAGTTCTATGTTTATCATCATGAACTACAACTTTACAGCAACTTTTCCCTTCCAGAACAATAACTTGCAAACTATTTTTTGCTTTATAAAGCTTGCAGTAAAATAAATTATCATCATCAAAAACAACAAAAACTTTATAGCAACTTTTCCCTTCTAAAATGATAGCTTCTAACCTATTTTTTGCTTTATATGGCATGCAGTAAAATAAATTATTAAGCTCGCACATTTTTGAAGTTACTTAACAACCACACATCAAAACATGAAGACATGATGAAGCCAGCACAATAACCTTTTCAAAGCACACGAAATGTTATCAAAGTCATGAGTTGTAATAATTAGTCAAATGACATGTAAAAAAAATACTTAAGCAATTAACAAATGAACGAGAAAGCTCATATAAAACGGAACCCAAAACTCACCGCAATAACGCAGACGTGGTCCCTTCCAAGGTTAGTCTACACTTCAATACTCTAGTTAATTTCAAACCAATCCGATGAAACAAAATATGAAACATTTCCCTTAAATAACATTGTTACTGCAATTCTTTCCAAGCTGTGACAAAATAAATATCTCTGGAGAGACCCCACTGCATCTACCACGAGCGTCCACTGCCACGTCCTCCCCTCCCATGAACACGTCCTATACCAACAGACCATACATTCATTAAAAACAATAACTAAAATGTATACTTTTATGTACCCACCCATCCCATTATTCTGATATAAGAGTTGAATTTATGTCCTTACCCCACCGTAGGTGAGAGTAATGATTATGTCCTTTGCGGCATTGGAGTAATGATGATGATGAGATGAATTTATGTAAGTTTGTAAAAAAGTCTGTATTTCAGTTTTATGTTCATATGCACTCTCTATTCATGCAACTGCAAAAGTATTCCGTGAACTTGATGATCTCATAACCAAACACTCAAACAACTTCTTCCAGATTTTTCATGTCCGCTCCACAATCCCAAGACTTATAAGTCCCGATCAGCAGATGACATCCCACTATAGACTTTCAAGTTTCAACAATTGAGAGTCATCATCAACAATTGAGAGTAAATATAAAAAATCATACTAAATATAACAGTTTGCAAGGTAAAACGGGATGACCAGGGCTGGCATGGTTCTACACTTCTACATGTATACCTACTCCATACTAAGAAGTAGGCATCTGATATTGGGGTTAATGCATATCTCATATTTTTGTGATCAAAATAATGCAGTTTTGATAGTATGTGCTCTTTTTTAGCCTATGACATCATGGATGGTCATTAAAGAGATCATTAAAGTACAGATGTTTTATAATACTCCATCCATCCCATAAAATTCTTCTCACTTTCCTTTTTGGGATGTCCCAAAATATTCTTTCCATTTCCCTTTTTTGAAAGTTTTGTGTGGCTAACATTCATTTACCTATTTCTTACTCAAACACACTCATACATTTCCACTTCATTCTCACTTTCTTAAACTCTTATACAAGTCATACCAGAAAGAATTTTATGGGACGAAGGGACTGAGGGAGTAGTATCAAACAATGGAACATCAAGTACTAATCCCCCAAAAAAATGTGGGGTTTCGAAATTTATTTGTCCCAAAAGAATACCATTTCATAGTTCTTATGTTCGGAACCAGTTCAATATGATAAATCTAGTCGAACCCAAATATAAACATTACATGCACACACAACTATATATAATTAGTTAAACTCAAGTAAAAATTACATTAACTTATAGCTTTTATGCAGTTAGACCATGTACAGTTACCTTCTCAAAACTTCAATAGTTAAACATGTAGCAACAAAAAGGTACCATACATCAAAACCACGAGGAATGGCATACGAGGTAGGAAAGTTATTAAAAATGATGGGCCTAAGGGAATGATGTACCTCGACCCCGAGCAGGAGCCTCGTAGTCGTAGCCCCCATCTTGATGCACATCATATTGAGGATCAGTGTACCCCCCTCTACCACGTCCACGGAAAGTACCTCTACCTCGATGTTGACCAGATGCCTCATAATTGTAACCCACATTTCCCTGCTGACCATTGTAACCTCCTCTACCCCATCCACGACCTCCGCCTCGACCTTGAGAAGGTGCATCATAATCATAGCCACCATCTTGACGCAGACCATTATAACCTCCTCTACGCCCACGTCCTTGAAAACCACGACCTTGAGAAGGTTCCTCATAATCATACCCACCATCTTGATGTGAATCATTGTAACCTCCTCGCCCATGTTCGCGAAAATTACGCCCTCTACCACCACGATTATTATATGGTGCCTCATAATCAGCACCACCATCTACTTGTGGACCACCATAACCACCTCTACCTTGTTCACGGAAATTACGACCTCTCCCACGATTCCTATTAGGTGCTTCATAATTGTAGCCATTGTCTTGTTGTGTATGATACTGCTGATCATTGTAGCCTAATCTGCCACGTCCATGGAAATTGCGACCGCCATCTCTACCCTGAGCAGGTTCTTCATAATCATAGCCACCATCTTGCTGTGTATCATACTGTGAGCCCTCATATCCTCTTCCACGTCCACGGAAACCACGTCCTCTGCCCTGACCCCTTCCCCTGACGTAGGTATTATTTCTATCATATCCAACACCGTCATACTCGGCTTCCACATAATCATTTCCTTGAAGTAATAACAAAGAAAAATATTAGTGTCGAACCCTAAACATATGCTTCCTAACCTTCCTCTATTTCATATTCTGCTGTTCAAGGATACATGCATTAAGAAACTCAGTAATCATCCTAGAATATTGCAAAATAATAGTTTTATACATACTAACCCTTATTTAATACCAATTTATGTAATATTAGTATATTACAATGTTGAAGTAATGTGAAGGTGTAAATTAGCACTCCCTTCATCCCATTCTAAGGTTCCCACTTTTTTGGGGACGTCCCATACAAAGGTTCCCATTAAAAAAAAGTTCCCATTTTTCTTTAAGGAACACTTAACACTATTGAATGACAATTTAATCATCAAACATTAAAAAAATACATCTATAACATCACGGTTATCATCACTGGCCTCATTATATTATATCCATGACAACTTTTTCCAAAATATACTCGAATTACCTTAGTTAATTATTGTCTAAATAATTGTATCATTTTGCAATATGAACCTTTAAGCAGGATGGAGGTAGTGCTACATAATATTAGTATCATAACCGATTCTTTTAATGAAGTCTTTCTACCAATAACAACTAAGAATATGAAACAGATGCACAGATGATCAAATTATCAAGACTCTTCAAACTACTAAGCAGTGTTGTCAATCCCAGATAGCGGAGCGGAGCGGCCAGCCCCAAAAACGCTATAGCTGTTAGCGGATAGCGGGATGACCGCTATTTAGGCTACTTCAAATATAAAAATAAGTAACTGCTAGAAGCATATATTATACATTACATACACATATTGAGTTCAAAAAGTATGATATATGTCAATGAAGTTGCAAACATCTTAGCATTCATAAATCCTAAATTACTTATAAATACTCTTTAGTTTCATGAGCAAAACAAAAAATGTTATTAATGATTAAAACATCTTAAGTCAAAACATTGAATCAAAAATAAGGTTTTAGTTTAAGAGTTTAAGCCTTGATATATTAACAGTCAAACTGTTCCACTTCCAAGCTGGGTCAAGGTGTTTTCATGTGGGCTTAAACATGGCAGTAGACTCCATACGAGATAATGACAAGAAGAAAAGAAGACTCACTGCAGGTCTGCAGCAAAAGTTGGAGAAGAAGATGTTGCAGCAGAAAAAACTACTGAGAAGAAAGAAGGAAGAGGAGGGCAGCACGTGTAGTTGTTGGAGAAGAACCAATCGCAAAGCAGAAACAGGGCTTTCTTAGAGAAGAAAGCATTGCAGAGCATAAAAAAAATACGCCAAAAACCTGGAGTCGTGAGTTTTTACGTACGTGTAAGGGTTTTAAGTAGTTAATATTTTGTTTTAAAAGTCTAGTTTACCCCTTCTATACCTCTGCGCTAAAAAATTTTAACGCCAAAAACCCTCGCAACCCTTTTACCACAAATCTTGCCGCTATAGCGGCCGCGAAAACCTTCTCCGCACCAACGCTATAGCGCGCTATAGCGCCGCTATTAACATCACTGCTACTAAGTATATCAGATTTTCTAAACGTTAAAACTACATTTTCCTAAAAACAGAAGTCATTGAATATTAGAACTCCATTGTGAGTCGTGATCATTCTCTGCTGTTTATTAATTTAAAATATAATCATACCAGATACAACTCTCGGCCTTCCTCTTCCTCTACCACCTTGCCGTCCTCTCCCGCGACCAGAAGGAGATCTCTCTTAACAAAAAGAAAAAAAGTAGGAATAAATCCAACTAGCTGTGTTAAGAATGGCCTCCTTAGAAACAAAATATAAAAGTATCACCTTCATAATCAATCTCTGTGAACACCTTAACCTGCTCCACAGGTATGGGCATCTGATACCTACAGGTGATTGAAAAGAAACACATAAGAGGGGGGGGGGGGGGCAAAAGGTGAAGTCACTGTCTAGATCACTTGAAACTCATAAAACTAACCCAACATCTTTGGTGTCCAGCTCCTTCTTTGAGAGAGTAACTGTAATCATTGAAACGTGCCTGGTGGTTTCCAAACTGCATTGAGAACCAAAAATAAACAGAAATCAGCAATTCCAAGAAGGTACTCGAACAATATCCAACACTGACAGAAATCGATTATCAGATAATCTTACCGAAGGAGGCCTTCCTCTAAGGGTTCCCATGTATCTGTTATGTCAGTGGATGTAATGGAAGTAATCTGATGAAGACCAACAATCCTTCTCTGTATCACAAAAAAATTAAACACTGCAATCAGAAACCAGAATTAGATGAATATAAATAAGTGTAGAAGAAATAAGGTAACAAGAACCTTAATGAGCTCCACAATTGCTACTGCTTTGTTGATTGCTCTACCCATTGCTTTGAACACAATCTGTTCAGCTTCTTTTTCCTACCACATGAATCATTAAACATGTATAAAGTTTATTATGAAGAGCAGACACATATTATAGTTATATATAAGCAAGGTGAGAGAGAGAGTGAGAGTGTTTGTTTTTATAGAATTTGGCAGTCTTCTCACTACAGTACATATTGACTTACAAGTTAAATGCATGCTCAATAGCAAAACTTATAACTGAGAACTCACACCTTTTTCTAAGAAATTTAAAATAAGAAGGATGATCACTTGTCCATTGAAAATGAAATCATTATCAAGCTTTTAACATCATACCCAAAAAACAGAGTTACAGTTTTTGTAGCTTTTTTTTTCGTTTTGGGCTCCTATTGAAAGGAGGCCCTCCAAAAATGGGGGTATGCCGCTATTTGCGACGCACACAGGGTATTCTTTAGTAAAAGGCGAAAGAATAGTTTGCAATGTGTTCATCACGTGGCTGCGTATGGGATGCACAAAGTTAAAAGCAGCGTATGGGGGCATATATAAGCAAAAACTAAAATAGGAAGTAAACTGAAATCAAGTATTCCAAATAAATGACTGTAAAATAAGAGTAATACCTGAAGTAGATTCATGGCATAAGTGATATAATTTCGCAACCTTCCCTGGCTAGTAATTCGAATCTCGTTCTCAGCAATGGGTGTCTCTAACCTTGGCTTCTCGACCCTTTGGTATCGATCCATCTATGCACCACGACGAAGTTATTTGGTGTCAATTATAGAACCCTAATCGTCACAGAATCAAATATATGCCAGTTTTTTTGGAACAAAAGTTAAAGTGAACAATAGCTATTTCATCCAAGAGAGAAGATCGATGGATTACATACTTGAGCAGGGGTTTTACAACGGTGATATATTATATTACGATTAAGACATGAAGTAATAACTGGATGGGATGAAGAGTACCTTCGGCTTGTGCCTTCAGAAAGTAAGGTGCTCTCCTCGAATGAAAAGTCCTCTTCTTCGGCTTTGTTTCTTCGTTTACGGCCTTCGTCGCTGCCTTACTTCACTGCTGAATCGCTTGCAAGTTCAATACTTCAATCCCGTGAAGCTGTCTTCACTCTTAAGCTTAAATTGGTATTTACCCTTCCTAGTTCCTAGTTCCTTCACATAAAACCCTATTTAGTATTTACCCTAAAATATAACGGAGTTTTAAAAAGAGATATTTACTATTAACCCCCTCAGGTTATATCATAATTATTAATAATTATTAATGTAACATTGCATTTTCAAAAATCAATTAGTTACCCCTGAATTTGGATCATTCTTGTTCTTTGCCCCTCACATTAACATTTCTTAAATTTAAATTTAATATAATTCTTAAATTTAATGAAAAATGTCTATAAAAATAATGTTTAATGTAAAACACAAATTATTATCATAAATAGTTTTCATGGGATACATAAAAAATTATGAATCATAATTATAAGCCATTTTTGTTGATCGTTATTTTTCTACTTAGCTACTCTATCGTGGAATAAATATTATTCAGAGGAATTAAGAGAAAATAATTACGAGTAAAATATAAAAATATCATGAATTTTTTAATGTTTTAATTTAAAAAAATTAAATATCATTTAATCTTATAAAACTAATAAAAAGTTTAAGTAAAAGAAAGCTTTTGTAAAGATATAATCATCACAAATTAGTAACAGAGTTGATAAAAATTTCAAGTAAATTAAAATTTATGATATTTTAGGTCTTAAATTGAGAGCTTTCAATTATTCAGATCATGGAATAATTGGAATAATCATCACACATTTTGTCTTTTAGGTCCCTTATTGATACTAAACCTATCTCTTAGGTCATGGGATGATAAAAAAAATCTGGGAAAAGGGGCAAATAAGCTCATCTACTAACAAAAAAATGTCAAATAAGCTCTTATATAGGAGACATTGTCTGGTTGTCGCCATTTGGGGCGGTTCCCGGTGGCAGTTTTTCATGAAATTTTATGAGCATCTTATTCATTAAGTCTAGTTTACTCATACCAAATTTCAGCTAAAACTTCAATTTCGGGAAGGCATTCAGATAAATTCTTGAAGATAACAGCGTCGTTAAAGCGCAGTTATCTTCAAGATTTCATTTGAATGTCTTCCTGATTGAATTGTTAGCTGAAATTTGGTATGAGTAACTAGACTTAATGAATACGCCACTCAAAAAATTTCATCAAAAAATTATACCGAAAATCTCCTCAAATGGCGACGGCCGGACAAAGCCTTCAATATAAGGGCTTATTTGACCCTTTTTGGTTAGTACGTGGGCTTATTTGCCTCTTTTCCCAAAAAATCTTGATGTTTTTCCTTTGCTACACACGAAAAAAATGGCATTGCGATTAATTCAATTACAAATAAGACTTTTATATTCATAATGAAGAAGTGCCTAGAATTTTGATAACACATTTTATTAACAATTCTTTTTATGTATCCCATGAATATGACTCCTGAGTCTTCCCATTAACTGCGCTCATTAATAGTTACTCAGCGATCGAATATTTAAGTAGAAAAACAAATGATCATCAACAATGACTTATAATAATGATGATAAATTGTTTTATATTTTAAAAATTAATTTTATGTTCAACTTTCATTGAATTTAAGAGGTATATTAAATTTAATTTAACGTGAGGCGGTATATAGCGAGAATGATCAAAACTTAAGGGGTAACTAATTGATTTTTGAAAATGCAAGGTTGCATTAATATTTATGGTATAACCTCAGGGGGCTAATAATAATTTTCCCTTTTAAAAAAGATGAACAAATGGACCTTTACGGTCCTTTGCATAAAATCCTACGGGAAATTCTGTACTGTTTACACGTTTTTACACATGTCTGTGAGGGTAATATTTGTTTGTAAAAACACTATTCACAGATAAAACATGTTTTGCCTGTGAACAGTGTTCTAAAAATCAAAAAATGCCTACACAAACACTTGTACGAACGTGTAAATATTAAAATTGTGTGCAAAATGAATCTTTCAAACCCTATTGGAAATTCCGTTTGGGAAATTGTCCTTCGCATAAAACCCTATGGGAAATTCCGTACACTTTTTTACCACTTGCACGTTTTTACATGTGTCTGTAAAGGTAATATCTTGTCTGTGAAAACACTATTCACAGATAAAACATGTTTTGCCTGTGAACAGTGTTATGAAAGGCAAAATAGGCCTACACAAACACTTGTACAAATGTGTAAATAGTAAAATTGTGTGAAAAATGAATTTTGCAAACCCTATTTAGCCCCGGGTGGAAATTATTGAATAATGACATATATAATAATATTGTAAATTTTTAACAATTATCATGTGGTCTGATGGCATAATTGTGATACTTCCAAGGATGAGATCAGAGGTTCAAATCTTATCTCAGCTCAAGGATGTTGGTCTTAAATAGAATGGATATTGTAATAGGTTAGAAAGTTTTGTCAAAGGGAAAACTTTCAATATATAATAAAGTAGAGTCTCGAAATGCGGTTTAAAAAACACCAAATATTAATAAATAGATAGCAATTTTTTAGTACTAATAAATAAACATAACACTTTTCACTCCTTATTCTACATATACCCCCCCCCCCCGGCTCCACGCTGATGTCATCGTTTCCAGGCTACTGCCATCCCACGATGGCATCAAGGTGCGCGGTGTGTCAATCTTCTCTTTTCTTCTTTATATTATTCTCATTCTCTGGGAGAACCTTCTTCACACAACATGTCGGTGGCAATGGTAATGAGTGGAATGCGACGACCTCCTGGAGATGGCAGCAATCTGGCGATGGCGAGTGACAAGCGCTTCAACGATGGAGACCGCAAGTGATGAGGAGCTGGGGTTTGTTACATTGTATGCCAAGCGACGATCAACAAGGGTAAGAGGGGTGGAGTGAGGTGAGCAATGGCCATTATTATATTGGAGTGGTTGTAGCACACTGACCCCCCGCAGGGTCCAAGGTCATTACATCTGGATATGCACTCTAGGTCTAGTACTGCCTTCACAAACCAACACAAGTCTTTACTCTTTACCATCCTAATACTACTCATATACGAGCACGCTTAATTTGGAGTTCTTGGGACACGAATTCCTTCAAAAGGAGATACATTTTGTTGGAATGAGTGGTACTATTAATCCTCTGGAAACTAATCTCACGTATTATAGTGGCGCCTCACACTAGGGTACATTAGGGTGGAACTGAGGCTACAGTTACAAAGTAGTGTGGTGCCAGCAAAAATAGAGTTACAGGCTAGGGTTTGCTTATGTAGTGGTGGGGGGTCGCTGCTATGATAGTGGAAATGTGGGGTGGGATAGGATGAAGGGGTTGTTGTCAGTTATTAGTCACTCGGGTGATTATGTGATTGAGTCACAGGGGTGTTGCAGTCACTCTTTGTTGTTCCGCATTGGGGCACCGGGGTTAGAAGTTGGTAACAAGGTCAGATGGTCCCTAATGGTGGGTCATCAATGGAGGGTTATGGGGTGGTGGGTTGTGCGTCATTGGATAAATCAGGTCACTCTCAGTCGGTATCACTAAGACGAGTAGTCTAACTGTCACCGACATGGTGAAGTGACAGGGTTGACGAGTCACTTGGACTCAGACTCACTTGTGGTAATTTGCTAGGGAGGCATTGAGTCATGGTTACTAAGCACTAGTCACATTAATTTAAGGGTATAAAAGTCATCTTAGTCTCTTGTATGGAATATTTTTTATTAGTCTCGCTTTTTCCCATAGCTACTCATTTAGTCTTATTTATGTCAATCAAAATCCCATAATTAGTTGCGAGTAAATACGAACAATATTAGAACCCTTTTTAGGACAAAATTGATAAAAAAAATTATTAGACATTCGAAGCTTTTGAATGAATAATTCAATTATAGAAGTCAAATCAAAGAATTCAATAGGGGTGGGAAAAACCGAACCGAAACCCGGAAACCGACCCTTGACCGACCCGAATTATGATCCCGGTCCGGGTTTTTTCTTTTTAACCGGCCCGAATTAAAAAAAAACCCGGACCGAACCGAAAATTCCGGGCTTATTAATGGGCCTTAAAATCTATACCCCGGCCCGGACCGAAAACCCGAAACAATTAGTTTTAATATATAATTAATATAGTATATGAATATAAATAAAATATTCCCTAATATATGATTATAATCACGGTGGATAAAAAAAGATTCAGTAACTTTTAGTGACTACAAATATGTTGAATTTGTTTAGCGTAATGATGACCATGAGAATATATTTATAGCAACTCTAGTAACTTTTTGATTTATAAAATTTATTTCGTAATATTTTTAAGAAACCTATATTATTTATATATATACATCTTTCATAAAATATTAAGATAATTATCTTCTTTAAATTTGAATTGTTGGTGATTTTGGAGACTAATATTTGTGTTATTATTTGCGGTTTGTATTTTTGATTAATTTTATTTGAAAATAAGTGTTAAAATATAAAAGAATGATGACATATTTCACGTCCGGGCTTTAACCGGTCCAACCCGAACCCGGACCGAACCCGGGCTACCAAAAACCCGACTCGGACCGAATATAATGGGCTTTGTTCCGGTCCCTAATTTTCATAACCCGAGACCTTCCGGGTAATTTCCGGGTTTAGCAAAAAACCGACCCAGACCGGACCGATCCCACCCCTAGAATTCAACTCATTAGCATCTTCATAAGAATAGACAATGGATTCCAAACTAACATCAAAGAATATGGTGAGAGAGGTGGATGAGGTTTCGATAAGGAGGATGGGGAATAAAACAAGGAACATGAGACATTTACGAGGGGGGGGCGGGTATAATGGAGTTTAAGGAGAGGGGTTTGGTGGATGAGACAGGTGTGAGAACATGAAAATGGGGTGCCATGAGTTGTTTAAGCTAGATTACTAGAGATTAGGGGACTGGTCTATAAAGTTTTAGGAGATATAGTCCTCTCAGAGAGATATCAATAACTTCGGCCCCAGTATGACCATATCTTGGCAGGTTCCCCCGAGGCAAATCACAACAATACAACATTCCTTATGAAAGCTCAGACTGTTCAAATGGACAAAAAGTTTCTTTGATGCACCCATTTCTCAATTTATTTGCGCCTTC